AATGTTGTAGGTCCGTGTGCTCAGATTTGGGTGCACATTAAAGAACCCTAGGTGGACGAAATTTCCGGAGCCCTCCACTACGGCGTCTCTCATAATCATATGGTGGTTTTGGGACGTTAAACCCCACATATCAATCATCAATTAATCATACAGTGGAAGAAATGATTAAATAAGCAGAATTTATTGATGTGCATTCAGCAAAGCTACCTCAGCGGCAAGTAACACAACTGAAGGTTTCGCGACTGATGAATCGCCAGCTTTGTTGAGAAAATACCTCTTCAATTTGCCGTGCTACCCAGTCTCTGAATGTAGCTTTCACCACCGTATCACCAAATGGGTTTGCGCAGTCACATTCGCTACACTGCAATGATAGGTTAGAGCAGTGGTTCTCAGCCATGGATGTGTCTGGGACCCCTTGTGGACTACTGGAAGTGATGGGGAACCCCTTGCAGCGAAGGGGAGGAAGGGGGGGGGGGGTACGTAGTTGAATTAACACAACTGGAGCGTGCAACATGTGCCTTTAATTTCTACCAAAAACATCAAACTTGCCACATCACTTCTTTTTGGACAGTCAATACTTGGCACTGTGGCTTTTGAACAGACTTTTTAAGTGGGTGAGGGTTTCGCGGATGACAGAAATGGCTTCGCGGACCCCCTAGTCTCCGCCGACCCCCATTTGAGAACCACTGGGTTAGAGCACAGTTGTCCCTTTAGAGAAGCTTTATGATCCATGATCCTATTATTCATTCAACGCCACAGTCTGTTCAAAATAATGGTTCCCACATGACAGCGTAGTGTCGTACACCACAGCGACGGCACAGTTGACCCCTTTGGCCCTGTGCTTGACCTAGCAAATACTCTTGCCTTGCTTCTTACCCTCGACCGTTTTCTCAACAGCCTCGCAAATGCTCCCTAGACAGTTGCTGGCTGAAAAGAAAACATTGCATCCATACCTTGCTCCCACTTTCTTTAAATCGTGGGAGACACCTTGTAGGTACTTGATGCTGGCGACCGGCAGTTCCTTCGAGCGTCTACCATGTACAAAGCCTTTTGCGTGCAATTTAATGTCTTGCAGAACCCTTTCAGCCAGCCTAGCCAAATGATCCTAAGGAAAACTAGACACCTTGAGCCTGTCAGTTTGCTTCTCAAGGCTTTCACCAACCCTGTGCAGGCAAGACTTAGACTGAGCAGGGCCTTCAAATATGTCGTTGCAACAGCGTTTTTTACAACTTTAGAGTGCCTGGAATGAAAATCTAGGACAGGCTTCTCACTTCTTGGAGCATACATTGAACAAGTAAGACACCTATTGAAAAACATCTTCAGATTCAAAAATTGAATGCACTTATCCTTAGGAAGCTCAAAGGTGAACTGCAGCCCCGCTCCAATGTGCTTGAAAATCTTGGGCACATTTGGGCGTGACTGCACACGCCCATTGGAATTTACTATCACTAGATAATCATTCACACATCGAAACAGTTTTACAAGAACACCTTCTAGGGCCAAATCCAAGTCACGATCAACTGAACTTAAGAAAATTTCACTCGGAACAGGTGCAACACTCCACCCAATAGACATGAGACCTTTGAGTATATACGTCTTCTTTCCCATCCAATAATCGTTGAGGACAGGTACACAGTCAAAAGCTTCAAAAACGAAGCCACAGACACACTACACTTGTCCTGAAAATTTAGTTCATCATTGTGAGCCTCAATGCACTCCTTCACACGCTTCAACAGCCCATTCCGTGGCAAAGAGTAGAAATGGTCCTCTACATCCACACTGAACCCTGAAAGGATTGCAAGGCAGCAGCATTCATTAGGAAACGAGTGACTTCCTCAGAGTTCTTGACCCGAAATGGGTCCACTAAACACAAGGAGGACTAGTGTTTCTGTAGGTACGTTGAAACATCATGCTGCCACATACATCGCTCTGAAACTATGAGGCGGAACGGTGCGTCTGGTTTGTGGGTCTTCACTGTGAAGAACATCTGAAGCAGTAAACCTTTCTCCTTTTTCACTGAGGCACATAGCCCATCCAACTGTAGCCCATGCAACAAAGCCACCGCCCGTTTTTTACCTTCCGCCAGCTTCTTATAGATTCCATTAAGATTCTTCTCGATGGCCTGTGAGGCTTTCTCCAGGAACAAGCACTCGGGCATAACAGCGAAGGAATCCTTGTCTGCCACCAATGGTCTAAGGTGTTCTTCAGTGAGCTGGTCCAGAAGCCACCTATTGTCAAACTTCAAACCTGACCTTCCTCTGCAGCTCGTGATAACCGCCGCACACTCGGTGACGCAGCGAGCCCTTTCAGCTTCAGGAACATTATCAGCAATACAGTGTCCCAGCGCCAAGGATTCCGCTAGTTTTACCCGAGGTTCAAAGCAAAACTTCAAAGCGAGCTCAAGCACCGTTCTCACTTTATCACCCAGGGTTGCATCGCTGAAGGTTACCACCTCTCTTGGGATTGCTGGGGATCGCTCGGTTGTGTTGCTTGCCGCTGGTTAGCTGGATGCGCATAAATGATGCAATCTGCTTCCTTTTGTACTTCAAATTTGCACGCAACTCAGTTAAGGTGAATTAACAACTCGCCCAGCAGTCTGTGCTTATTAGTCTCTTGCCACAGATAACACCAGAGGTATCGTGCAACAGTGTGTGTTGAGGAAAAAAATAATTTTGGGTTCATTGCACCAGAGTGGCCACACCAGAGCAATAGTGGGCATCAAAGGGTTAAGCAGTTTAGTTCATTCTTAAGATTTCGGGTTGCATCCCAGACTGCATTCTAGGTCACAGTGGCCACATTTCAGTGGGGCCACTGTGCGAGAGCACTTGTGTACTTAAGTTTAAGTGCAAGTTGATCCTTTGTAGTCGGGAAACTCCCAGCATTACAGAGCAGCTTGCGCAGTCAATTGTTAGAGATGTCCACAGAGGCATTTTAATTCAAATGGCATGCATTATTGTTTAGGAAATATTCAGTGTCATCTTTTGGATAGTGGCACCATTGATAGTAGCAACTTTCTCACCATGTTCTGTCCAGGTGGCAGCACCCTGTGAAGAGAGGGAAAAAAAAAATAATGGAAAGATATAAGTTGCAGGTAGTGTTTCTGTGCATGGCATTCTGCGGCACTAATTATCCTGGGTTTCTAAAAAAACAATGAAAAATAATTAATGTTCCTCTATTCAATTAAGACAAAACGTCATCAGATGAGTGTTCTGATTAAAGTATTCACTATGACATGACAGGAAATAGCCCAAAAAAGCTTAGGGAATTCTTCGAGCGGTATCACACATTTTTGGTGTATTGCTGAAGGACTGTAATTGAAGGGAAGAGAGAAATAATTTTGCATGCTGCATATATGAGTATGTTTTTACATGATAATTAAGTGGCTTTCAAGAGCATTGAAAAAATGTGCCACTAATGGCCTGATCACATATCAAGTGCTTCATTATGGCACATCTGCATTAGTTCTGTGATATTTGGGCCATTATTTCAGTGCCTTTTGGCATTTTTACGATTGCATTGGTAGATAGGGGAATATAAGTAAAAAATTTATTTTTTTACTAATTATATCCTTTTTATTTGCTAATTTTAATTTTTTCAAATTTTTTGGGAGGGCGCAAGATTTTGGTCTTCTATGTTGTGTTGAATGTGTATATAATCTACACTGTTGTAATTAGCCTAGTTTTTTTTATCAGTCTTAATTTTTTTCAATTCGGAAACTAATGCTGAAAATTAAGTTGTTTTCCTTTATAGTGTCTCAGATTAGAACCATGACAAGTTTGGATATATTTGATAGGAAGATAACAAAACTATAATGTTAAATGTTTTGTTGATCTGTGAGGAGTTTATTATATTTATTTTTTGCACTATTCATTAATGGGCAAATGTATATTGCATTGAGAGCTGAACGTTTCCTCAAAGAAAATGTTGAAGGGGCTTTTATACACACTACTGTCTTCGTTAAATGTCAGTCTACTACACTGCAATAAATGTAATTACATATTGTTCCGACTACAGCAATTTCTGGTAAATTAAATTATACTTTATATTGAACTATTTTCAAACACCATATACTTTGTCATTACATTGAAAAATTTCTGGCTACATTGAACAAAAATAGCCAAAAGACGTAAGGTATCGAACATTGGGCAGGACAAGACAGCCCAAGAAGTTGGCTTTCTTTTTACAAATTTTTGTTATTGTTGTTTTTTCTCACGAAGGAGGCATTTAGTAGAGCAAATGCTGGGATTAGGAGAGTTTTGCATGAAGCGAGAAGCAACCTATCACATGCATTCTTGCATGATTCCTTGTTGCTTTGACGGCCCCTCGTACGCTTGCCCACTTGTTCCACTTGTTCTGTTCATGTGATGGGTGCTGTAAAGCAGAAGTCAGAAGTGCCTGCCATTGCTCACAAAGGTGGCGATAATACACTTGAACATAGGGAAAAGAAGCTTTATATTGTCACTGTGTGCCGCATCCCAAGTGCCCTAAGTATCAAATGTAACATCATTTTGTTTCATTTTTCGTGGCAATAGGTCGTCGCTAAACAGTGTGTATGTTTATCATTGCCATAAGTGATACAATCTTCCGCCTCGGTGGATCAGTGGCTAGCGTGCTCTGCTGCAGACCTTAAGGCCGTGGCTTTAATCCCGGCCGCGGCGGTCTCATTTTGATAGAGGCAAAATGCTAGAGGCTCATGTACTGTGTGATGTCAGTGTGCGTTATGGAACACCAGATGGTCAAAATTTTCAGAGCCCTCCACTATGGCATCTCTCATAATCAAAGGGGGGTTTTGGGACGTTAAACTATATATCATTATTATTATTATTATTTTATTATTATTGCAAGTGGTGCAGTTCGATGCAATGAAAGTCTGTTTTTGTTTCTTAGCGCTTGAAGATTTGATCTTAGAAATGCTTTCTTTGTGGAGCTTGACTGTTCAATTGGAACACTTAGTGCATGATTGTTTCTGCACTAAATGTCAAGTATATTGTGTTTTTCAGCAAATTGTACAAGACGTGGTGTCTGGAATGGGAGAAATCGGCCGAAATGCCACGGTCATGTCAAGAACATCGGTGAGAAGGCATTTGTTTTTATTTTGTGCTAAGTTTGCAAGCTTGCATTAGACAGCTGCTGTCATTAAGCATAGGCATTACTGAACTCCTGAGATAAGTAGAATGTAAAAACATTTTAAAAATGTTTTAAAAGTCCCTGCTGCAGTCCTTCCTTTTTTGTCTTGAGTAATTTACCACGTGTATTGCTCTGCTAGGATTTATTCAACGGGGCTTTTGAAGTGTAGGTGTCACAGTGTAGAAATGAATCGTCTCATTTAAGGAAAAATAATGTAGACTCTCAGTAAACGGAAATCTGTTAAGGGGAACTGCTGCCCAAATGAAACCGCTGTTTCCAGCACAGTTGGTTTCATACTTGGATTCTCCACCCCGTGGAGGAAGGAATACTGAAGAGAGGCTGTTATGTCACATTTCGTGAAGCTCAAAGGGGGAGAAAGCGGAGGGCTTTTCCCCTAAAGGTTGGTCACGCTTCAGCGTGCTTGCGCATGAGCGACTGTGTTGGCGACAAAGAGGCGAGCCACACAACATGTTGGACGCGCCTAGTGGCAGTGCCGTCGCCAGCTGATGAACTAAAAAAAGCAAGACTTTTGTGCCCATATTGCACATCTACAATAAATTTTCAGCTTTGGACATATCGTTTAATCCGCTGTATGCAAGAGGCAATGGTGTTACTCGGCCAAATAATCGCCACAGGCAGGCTGCTTTTTTTTTTTTGTGCAAATACAGTAAGTTTGGGGTACGAACATAACTTAACAGTGAAATCTTATTTGGTCTTGTAATTTAGCAAAATGAAGTGCCTCAGAATCATTGTTTGCCTGCATGTGTCGCGAAACGTTTGCACGAGTATTGTTCACAGCAGCACGCGCCAGCAGACTGTGACCATACCAAAGAAGACTTGGCCACAGACGAAGTTACCATGGGCAAAATGTAAACAGGATGTGATAATTTAAACAATAAATCTCCATGCATGTCAGTAATTCTTGACTCTTTAAGCTGCGGTGAGCACACTGGGCCACTGTTTTCAGATAGTTGTGACCATCGTACACTGGAACGGGTCGCCGCCACCTTTCGCATTAGGAGCCGTAGGCACTGCCGTTTTTATTTTGGAATTTGAGCCTTCCATCGCGGAGGCACGCAATATAGCGTAGTGCTGATAGCAAAAAGCGCAAGTGCAGCACCAACCATTTTTAGAGAAGTGGTAGAAAGCTTTGAAAAGAACCGCTTTCGACCGCAAGCATGAAGACTCGCAACAGTGAAGACAGATGCTCACTGAAAGCTTCCAACACATTGCATCATCTTGTGAAGTGCAACAGCTGTGTTAAAATGTGCCCTTCTGAACTTAAGCCAGCTCTCTCAACAATGCGATCATGTGAATGGTGATGCAGACGACACGAGTTCTTGCCTTGCAATATTTGAAACCTTATGCATCTTCCCTTTTTATGGGTATTCACTTTGTTTGAATTCTCACTATATACATAAGTTAATTTGTATGCCCACCTGCTATGGTCTCGGAAAAAGACTTTTTTCAAATAAAAGAATGGACTGTTGTGAACTTCGTGAGCTGATTTGAATTGGTGGGCTTTAAAAGGCCGAGGTAGCGAAATGCAACTGCTGAACATTTGCCGATTTTCGTCTCGTGACAAAGTGGCTCCAGGCCACACAAAGCCAAACGGAGCCGAAAGAACGAGGAGACCATGCAAAAAAAATGTCACATAGTATAATCCGAGTATCATTTAACAAACAAAAACTAAGAAAAGAATATATGCAGTAATGCTTAGCCTCGCCCAAAAAATTTTTGTAGACTGCCTGATTACACCTGTGGCATGGCCCTTACACCTGTGGCATGGCCCTGTTCTTCAAGGTATTTTTTCGAATGATAGCTAAGCATTTAGTAGGAAAAGGTGAACGAATATTCATTCTCAACATAAAAAAAAAAAGAGGTCGAATACAATGCGCACCTTCTTTCTGATTGAGAAGTCCGAAAATTTTCTGCCCGTACAAATGAAACCAAAGCTGTGTTGTTAGCAACAACCTACTTTTGGAAAAGTTTGGTACAGTGCCATCACCATCATATAATGGTAATGGAACACATATATGTTAATGTAGGAGGTTTTCGTGTGTTAACAGAGCTGTGTGCATCGTATTTATTGTCTTGTGAAATGCAATCGGGCATGTGCCACTGTTATTACGAAGGCTCACGTCAACTGACAATTTCTTTGTCGCAGGGTTTGACTGTGGAACACAATATGCACGAACTAAATGTTGTCATTTTGGGCTTTGTATGGAACAAAATGTGCTAGTAGCTTTCATTTAATTGTTTTTTCAATAAGTGGGGTGGTTGCTGCTTGTGGTAGAAAAGCCACAATCGGCACAAAGATTTTGGTTTGTGTGATGTAAGCTGCGTTTTGATTGGAAGCAGGGAACTTTCTTGCTAGGGGAGTGAAATTTAAGTAAGGTGTGCCAATTTGTCTGCTTTTATCTTAAATTCTAATACTGAATAATTTTGTTTGTTTCCATTGCCTTTCAACATTCTTACTACACTAGATTTTGGGATAAAACAAAAGCATTGTAATGGGAGATTTGGTGAGTAAAATTTAGAAACAAAAGTTTATGTATGTGACTTTCGGCATTATGAATGTTGAAGATAATGCTTTGGGCTTATTTGGCACTGCTATAAAATGTCAAGGATTCGTACTAGATTAGATTGTCCTAGGCTTCAATGTTTTGTTTGTTTAACCTGCAGGAAGATGGTTCTTCTGTGGATGTTCACATCAACTTGGGTCAAGTTCCAATGCCGAGCGAGTCCCAGCTACGTCTTAACCAGGCACAAAAAATGGTGCAAAAAGCAACACGTGTAATTGCTGCTCTTGAGGTAAATATCTCTGTTGTAAAAAGAAACATGTCATTTTTAAATGCAATGGATAAAAGTAATGCTTTACTCTAAGAAAAACTTGACCAATTCTAAAAATGTTTCGTGGCATGTGATTCATGAAGCGTCATGCGCTAATTGTGAGACTATCCTGTTATAACTTCGAAAAGGTTTGGGGGCCCGTTTAACTATAAACAAAAAGGTTTGCGAGTGTAGTTTCTTCTACCTTGATGCTGTCCACCATAGTGGCATAGCAGGTCAAGTGCTTGACTATCAACCCAAAGGTAGAGGGTTTGATTTTTTCTGATGACAAAGGCTATCTGATGATTTGTTCTTTTTTTTTAAATTTAAGCTTTATTTTCAATTTATTCTGACATTTTCCTAAAATAATGGTACGTTTCTTGAATGGGGGGACAAGGACGTGGGGATCCTTTGTAGCTTTTTGTTTCTAGGTCTAGGTTGATAAAATTTCGCATACACACTAAAAATCGCATTAAAGAGATAAATGCAAATTTTAATAAAGATGTCTTTACTAGTTCTCATTTTATAAAGAACTCTCAAGTTCGCCACTTGTGGAGTCTGGCACAGGGATGAAACTTGCTAAAGTGCTGGATCAACTTCGCGCGCGCGCGTGCGTGCGTGCGTGCGTGCGTGCGTGCGTGCGTGCGTGTGTGTGTGTGTGTGTGTGTGTACATATTGCTTGTGCCCAAAGACAGTGCCAGATTTTTTTTTTTTTTTTTTTGCTGCCCCAAAGAAATTTTCTGCTTAACATTATTTGCATGTGCTTCATCAAGTCCTGCCTTTAAGTAATTGTGGAATAAAAAAAAAGGAAGTCTAAATTAATATTTGAAGACTGCCTTCAGGTATGACACAGTTTATGAGTTACAATAAAACAAACAGAATGAAGATTGGTCCGGCCATAGTCGCGCAATGCTTTCCACAACCAAGGTGGTCAACAACAAAAAAGTATCACAGAAAATGGCTTTTAAAGTTTGGAGAATGTTGCACCATTACTAAAATGCTGATTGACGTTTTAAGAACGTCAAAAGCCTTCCTGTCGAGTACACAGCGAACAGGAAGGCATGGATGACATCGGACATTTTTTCGCGGCTGGCTGCAGCAGTTGGACCGGCACTTCACGTCGAAGGACCGCAAGATAATTATGGTTGTTGACAACTGCAGTGCCCATAACTGTACAGTCGAACTGAAGAGCATCAAAGTAGTTTTTTTGCCGCCCAACACTACGTCTGCTCTTCAGCCGATGGACCAGGGTATCATTCACTACGTGAAGTCGAAGTACCGTAAGCACCTGCTAGAGCGAATGATCCTATGCTGAGAAGCTAGAAAGTTGTATCAAGTGGACTTACTCGGCGCAGTGCACATCATCGCCCACGTGTGGAAAAACACTCCGCCGCAAGTCATCGCCAACTGTTTTCGGCACAGCGGTTTTGTGAGGCCCGAGCATGCAGCAGTAGCTGACGATGGCATCGAGGAGGTGTCAGCAGAGTCTACCGACGATGACTGCCCGACTTTCGATGCTGTCCTTCCCACAGATGTGATCTTTCAGGACTACATCGCGATTGATCATGGTGTCGCCACGAGTGTTCTTGCACGATTTTGAGTTTCTACCTTGCGTATCACGCTGACAACCTTTTTTCTTTTCGAAGGAAAACTGAGAGGCGAGCAAGTTGGTACCGATTCATTACGGCGTGAATGCAGTGCAAAAAAAGATGAGAAAGTGAACACCACAAGCGCATCCACCTGTAAATAGCCAAATGCCTCGTAATCCAATCAGCCAGTGTCATCGCAATGCGGGGTTCGCCATTTCTCGAGTTCCTGTGCGCAGCACCTTTGTGATGCTATGTGCACACTTGAGGGGATGGTATACTGGGGGATGTAGACAAAGGGTAAGCCCCCCCCCCCCCCCCTTGTGTTAGACATGGCCCCTACCAAATTATGGGTGAGACTGACTTTGATTGTTCGGGTTCAGCTGAGCCTATGCCACTCTCCTTTTTACGCGCTCCAAAGAGCGGTGCATCAAGACTGGGCACCCCCCGGCCAAAACCGTCTAGCGTTGCCACTCACAGAAACTCGGCAAACAAGCCAACGCGCTACTTAGCGGACTCGGGCCAATGGGCCTGTGGGGCACATCCCCTGAACCTCATGCAGGAGGGGGGTTCGCAACCCGGGTGAGATTTGCCGGGCGCCAGCGGTTACATGAACAGTCATGTGTTTTCACCTTACTTCTCCCTCACTGCGGCCACGACCCTCCGATCCAGATCACGCAGCCTGAGCTTCCCCTCTTAGCTGTTTGAGCATCCAAAGACACCGCATCGCAAGGTGGAGGGGGCTTTGTGACTCTACAGGTCGCGGCTCCAATTTAGCTGGGTTACATGGGCACGCAACAACCCAAACTAAACTGTTCAGACACCTCTCAATCACGAATGGATTTGGATCAGTCCTGGACCAGCAGTGAGATCCCAAAACCCATATCACGGTCTCCTAATTAGCTGTATTACAGGGGCTCCCAAGTTCCCCCGGCCTTAGTGGTACCTAAATTGAAACCTCTCACTAGGAAAGCCATCCCATGCCGAGGCCTCTGAGAAGTTGGATTACAGGTGCTTACCAAATCATCCAGCCAATTCTGCACAGTTTCTACCCCAGCTGGTCTGGTCAGCCAGCAAGGTAATGGCGGAACTCTTCCTTGGATGCTCACTGGTTGCAATCGGTTCATGAGCGGCATCCACTCACTGTGATCTATAATCGACCACCTCACCCGCATGCAATGTGTTACAGAGGCCCGCCACAAACCTCTGGTGTGGAATATCCGGGTAGCTGTCATAGGCACACAGTGCCATTCTTTTTTTCGGGCATTTAGAGTAGGTTTTCATCCAAATCGGCTTTGCACAGAATAGAATAGGCACTGCAGATGCTGGAATGAGTGATTTCAAAAAGTCTATTTTTTTACGCGGTTTTTGCAATCTGATCCCCGCGTCTCCCCTTAAGTGTTTATATCGTTTTGGCTTGCAGAACCAAGGCCAGCAGACCACACAACCTCCTGAGGATGAAGGAATGGATATTGAAGAGCAAGTTGAGGTGGATGTCCAAATGGTTGACACCAATGGAAATGACACTGCACGAGTAACCTTATTTTTCACCTCTATTACATAGCAGCTTCGCTCATACCACATGCATGACTGATTTTAGTGCTGGAAGGGCTGCAGCACGTGCAAATCAATGCTGAAACACAAATTTTGAACCAAGTCACTGAATTTTTCATAATGTGCATGCTCAGTGGCAATCATAAAGGCATAGATATGCAGGTTAGTATTTACCATTATAATCATAGCCTAATCAATTCATTTCAGTATTGATGTTTATGAAGTGTGTGCATGTCTGTATGTGTGTGTTCAAATTTGCTTCAAACCTAAATTTTATTACAGTAAAAGCTTGTTAATTTAGATTTTACAGAACCAATGAAATTGTCCAAACTTAACCGAATTTGAAGTTAAAAAAGAAAAAAAAAATGCTGGTGACATCTTTATCACGGCAGTTGTGAAAATTGACACTGTAAGCGGTGCGGTGTTATAACCAAAGCATGGTTTTTTTTTTTTTTTCGGCCTTTGTCCATGCCAAAAGGGTGACCTACGTTTCGAAAGCAATTTATCGCACTTTTCACTTGCAGACACATTTAACACAATCACAACCACAACACAGCATGAAAAGTTCTCAACTGCGGCATCAGCGGACGAACGCTGTAATTTTTGTTTGGCTATTCTTGTGAACAGCGCTTTGAACAATTTCATCCTCCATGTAGCTTAAATACTGAAGCATTTAACTGTTGTCCACACAATATGTTTTCAGTTTCTTGAATTATTATGTGTCTTTCTTTGCTTGAGAAATATGGTTCTGGTGTAAAAATGACATCATCCTCGCCGTCTGGCTTGTCTGTGTTGGGCTTTGTACACCCTCACACTGCTGCAGTAATTGCGTCATCTGTGCTCACCTCTGTAGACAGAAAGCTCCATCTCCCCGGCATTGACAAATTCTTGGAAGGTGTCTGTAGCTGTAACAAAGTTGCTCTCAACGAGGCAGGACCACGTGTAATCAGTGCTGAGTGTCTGATCGGCAACAGTGTCGCTCTGCTCATGGTCTTCCAGAGTCTCTGCATTGCAGGAAGTCTGCCCTGTTGAAACCCGGGCTCATGGTATCGGCCTTCACCTGCCACCTTGAAGTGACCACCATGTCAAATGTGCCCCTTAAATACACTTGAATACACTTTTAAGAGGCTTCTGCTGTATGCTCAGCAAAAATTTTCCCCAAATGCTTTTTTTTGCAATCTTAAGTTGAGTGCAGTCAATTTCGACATGATTTTGTGGGCTATGCAATTGAAGATAAGCATGACCAGTCATTTCTCTGCCACCATAATATCCTCATCGAACTTGCAAAGCCAGCTTCTGAACAAATTTTGAATTGTCCTCGTTTTTTATTGGATTTGGACGTCACTGGCAGGCACTCATGCTTTTTAAAGTTTTGTGGCCTTACCGATTTACCTGTGACAAAGAGGCGGCACTTGTCACTTCTATCCATGGGAGCACGAAACAATTCATATATCCGCTCCTTTGAGGCCTTGTGGTTAGAGCAAGCTGTGCCTTTGTGTGAAAGAGTGCGATTGTGCAGAAGGTTGTAAAATAATCCAGCTTCATAGGCATTATATATGTCTGTCCATATAGGTGAATAGCATATTTTCTCAGTATAAGCGAAGCCAGATTTCAATTGACTCGTCATTAACACCGTCACTTTCTCCGTACAGCACTTTGCAGTTGATGCCGATGGGATCTTTCAAACGCTGTATCCGCCCGTTAAGCGCGTTGGTCATTATGGCTTAAAAGAGCTCCGAGTGACTTAGCCTTTTGTTGAAGTGTGGAGCCACTTACTGGGATGCCCTGAGCCCTAACTTCCCAGAACCATCTGAACAGTGCTGCGTTCATGTCTTCATATTCGCACTGTCCGCAGCCTATAGGTGGTGCACAAGGTAAATCAACATGGCGGTCCGGAGGATGATAGTGAGCAAGTAGGAGGGCATAGAAGCGTGTTGTAGAACTTGTTTTGACAAATGTAATCACGCCAGGCCGCTTTCATGGCGCGGCATCGAGTTCCACATGGAAATAGATTATAATTACGTGAAAAACAGGGCACATGAGTAGAAATTTGTGGACCAATCATTTGTATGGTGACGAAGGTGAAACCTCGGCACAATTTGCGAGCATCTATTACCACTTCATTCTCTGCTGCACTGATCCACTTGTGTCCGGAACTGTCATGTTGGCTTCCCATGAATAAATGTTGCGACGATACACATTATTTGCGGCTCCCATATGCAACTCTCTAGCAATTAAACAGTGGCTGCATTATTTTATTTAGTGTGACCCAGCTCGCGCACTTGGTGTCTTGAAAGACCTCATGAGTAGGTTACAAACACAAAAGGGATAGAAATGCATCATCTATGCCATACGTGACGCTTTGTCACTCGCGAAAACAAATTGCTTTAAGCTCTGATGTTGTGAAGGAAAAAGGTTGTCACTCGATAATTGGAAGCGTCCCTAGCAACCGGAGCACCTACCTCCTTGACTTGAACGTCACTTGCCACCGCCTCAATACAGTGCGTTGGAAACGCATTTGTGGGGTTCGTGCTGCCTTGGCACAGCCTGAAAACGGTGCGTTTTCAACGTGTTATTCTTCTAACGTCGGGTTTTCACGTGTGAAACGCCGTTATGTATGGATGCTACGCAATGCATTCACATTTCCTCATGATTCCGTTCGGAGAGATGGGGGCATTTTTTCTCTCTACCCGCTGTGCGGCACGTCAGTCTACGGACAGTGCGAATTCTGACGTACATATTCTCTCTAGTGACAAGGAAGACTAATCTTGCTGCAGTTGCTACCACTGTTTGTCCTTGTTCTTTCAGATGGTCGACACGGCTGTGTCAGAAACGCTTCTTCAGCATGTTCTCTATGTCCCTTATAGCTCATTCTTTGGTTTGTAGCAATGAGGCACGTTTTTTTTTCACCCACACTGCTTGGAACACGCTGCTGGCGCCATGGCAGGAGAAGCTCGACAACACGTGCTCATGGTCACCAGGGATTCTAGGGAAATGGAACAGGTTGATCAGATCACTCGTGAACATTTCCCTGGCTTCGGAAGCCTACCCCGATCAGGCAATTTGGCACTGTCATTTGAAGACATCAATGATTACTAAATGGGGGAGCTTTAAAATTGCACTTCTGTCGAATGATGATGTTTATGAATCATTTGTACTCAATTATTATTCTACTTACAGCAGCCTCATGCATCAGGTGGCAGTAGCGGGGACAATGACCCAGCTGCATCTCGGTCCTTGGGATTGTCTGCATCAACTGGTCGTTTCGGTGAAGGAATCGTGAATGCTGCTAGAGCAGCTGCTGCTGCAGCAGCCGTTGTTGCTTCACGCGTCACAGCTGGATCAGTGTTTGGCTCCTCTGCAGCTACGGCTACAGAGAGTCCAGCAGAGACCTCTGCGGCAACTACCAGTAAGTTGGTACTTGAACAAAGGTTTTTACTGCCATTGAGTATCAGAGTGGTGGGAGGGCGCTGGTGTTTTTGGAAGCACATTCAAACATCAGTGTTTGAAAACATGCAATTTTTGTCATTGAAAGACTGTCAAGCGTCACTCTTAAGGTGCTACAACCTGCAACAGCTTAAAGCTTCATGAAAAAGTTCTTATTGTCCTGCTTCGCTTTCACAAAAACTATTTTGCTTTGCTTTATAAGGATCCACCAAGGTAGTTGGTATGTAGTCTCGCTTATCTTCTTCACAGCCTACATTCTGGTGTTTGTTGCTTGCATTTGAGTTTTAACCATGTGTAAAAGTGATTTATGTCCTGTTTATTGTTCTTCAATGTGCTCAAATCATTATGGCTTGATAGCCCCTCCCCCCCTCCCCTCTGGGTCTCTTGTAGACGAGCACTTAACACTTAGTTTACAGGTAGTGCTCCAAATTGAGACACTGCCTTGTTTGCATATCTTTTTGAGGCACAGGAGAACTGATGAATCTCTTCTATTAATTTAACAATTAACTGCAAGTTGGTCACTTCCTTTGATTTTTTTCTACAGGTATGCAGCGTTGCATACGTTTGATTTTGGGCTTGTGCATTCCCTGCCTTGACTCTTGCATTCTCCTTGGCCACCATACTTCGTGTTGTATTCTCTAATGAGTCACTTTATTTTCCATTTTTCTGTCTTTTGCCATTGATTCAAATGTGGCTCAGGGACCACTGTTACGGCTGGATTGGCATTCATACAGTTGGCATTCATTCATACATTATGTCATACAGTTAAACCTGCTTATAATGAACCTCTATACAACGAAGTTTTTCTATTCCCTGCTGTTACTCCATAGAAGCACGTGTATTTGTCACCTGTATGTAACAAAGTAACAGCGGGAAGCACCCTTGATATATAACAAATTTTTGCCCTAGACAATCTAGGAATCTTGCCCCAAATTTTTTATTTTGGCACAAATCTTTCTCGGTGGTCTTGCTGTCGACATAGAGCGAAGTGGCAGCGGCGTGCTCATAGCCCCTGCGACTCCCAGGCGAGAGCGAACGCTCGAGCGTTATTGCGCATGGGTGTGCACGTGGCGGGCCTGCGCCCCATGATCCGGCGTTACTGCCGTTCTTGTCGCCGCGGACACATGCGCGGATGTGCCCTCTCCCTCACTTCAAAAAAAAATTTTCTATTGGCAGTGCCACGCTTTTAGTTAGTGTCACATATGTGAGGCCACCCATATGGAGGGCGCTTTACCGAATAGTTTATCGCGGTATCCGTGTCGTTCGCGCTTCGTTTTCGACGGCGTGTGCGCATGTATGGCTTCACTGCGGAGGCATGGTGTATCCCCCCCTCCCCCGGAGGACGTTCAGCTTTGCTTGTTTTTCTAAACTTCTTTTTTTAAATGCGCACAACGATGTTGTAACTACCAAGGGGATGTCGGATTAGGCATTGATGAAAACTCTCCGACAACACGGTGACAATGACGTATTCATTCATTCATTTTATTACCTCAAAGGTCCCGGTTGGGATATTACATGAGGGAGTGGGTATTACAAAGGCTAACAATATAATGGTAGTTATGATGGGATAGATTCGATGAGCCGTTTAAATGCTTGGGTGTCGATGATGGTGGTGACTTCGGTGGGCAGGTCATTCCAGTCTTGGGCTGTGCGCAAGAAAAACGATTGCTGAAAGGTCACAGTATGGGCTTGTGGTGGGTATACTGCGTTACAGTGACTGATGCGGAAAATGCGGTGGGCTCTTCTGATGTATGGGTTATCTAAAGGCAAAGAATGGAAGAATTTATGATAAAGGTTAAGACGTGCGATTTTGCGGCGCTTAGCCAGATCGGATAAGTTAATCTCTGCTTTTAGGGCCGAGATGCTTGATATGTATGAATAGTTAGACAGTATAAACCGTGCCGCACGGTTCTGGACAGATTCGAGGGCGTAAGTGAGGTTATTGTGGTGAGGGTCAAAAATCGCGTTAGTATATTCTAGCTTTGGCCGGACAAAGGTTTCGAAGGCAACTTTTTTAATAGAAGGAGGAGCGAGCGAAAGGTTACGGCGTATATACCCTAGAGTACGATTAGCAGAATTGATTATGTGGTTAATATGACGGGTCCAAGTTAGGTCACGCGAGATGTACACACCAAGATATTTAAATGAATCGACTGTAGAAATCTGGTTGTTATTGATGCTGTAGTTATAAACAATGTGATGTTGACGACGGTGAATAGACATTAACACAGTTTTAGTTACATTCAAGGACATGAGCCAAGTGTTACACCAGTTTTGTATGCGGGTGAGGTCACATTGTAGTATGGAATGATCAGAGGGGTTATTAATTGTGCGGTAAACAACACAATCATCTGCGAATAGACGGATGTGAGAAGAAATATTACAGGGGAGGTCATTAATGTATATCAAGAAGAGGAGGGGACCAAGTACGGTACCTTGCGGTACGCCTGAGAGAACGGGTGTTAGAGATGAAGAGCGTGAGTTAGCATAAACAAATTGCTGACGGTTGGTTAAAAGTTCTCGTATCCAGTTTAAAACACATGGGTGGATTTAAGACGGGATAATTTCAATAAAAGACGACCATGGGGGACCTTGTCGAATGCCTTTTCGAAGTCTAAGAATATTGTGTCAGTCGGAATGTTATGGTCTAGGTTTACGTGTAGATCATGCAGAAAAAGAGCAAGTTGAGTGTCACAGGAGTAATGTTTGCGAAAACCATGCTGACTTGGGTGAAAGAAATTTACAGATGTTAAGAAGTTAGCAGTATGCGAGTATATGATATGCTCCATTACTTTACAAGAGACACTTGTTATAGAAATCGGACGGTAGTTACTCGGCGATGCTCGGCTTCCTTTCTTGAAGACCGGGATGACCTTGCCCACCTGCCAGTCATGTGGAACTGAACCGCTGTCGAGTGATTCCTGAAATATGAGCGACAAAAACAGGCTACACACATGTTTAGTATTTTTTAGCACTTTAGCATTGATGCCATCTACTGCCGTGGATGATAAGTTATTCAATGATTCAATGACTTAGACTATGCTGCATGAATCGAATGTGATGTTTTGCATCAGCGGATATGCGGAAAATGGAAGATCGGGTAAACTGTCGGGTGGCTCATTAGTAAAAACAGAACTAAATACTGTGTTAAGAGAATCAGCAATTTCAATCTCAGGAATAGGAAGGCCAAAGCTATTATTAAGTGAAATCTCACTACATTGAGAGGGATTAACTGTTTTCCAAAATCGCTTCGGGTTATTTTGCAGCATAGCTGGTAGGGTGTTAGAATAGAACTTGTGCTTAGTTTCGATGGTTAGTTTATAATATTCTTTCTCCACTGCGTAATAATTCTGCCATGTGGAAGCACAGTTAGCTCGTTTGGCAGCTCGAAATAGGCGTTTTTTCTTATTATTTAGTCGTTTGAGGGATACATTGAACCATGGGGAATTCATTTTCTCTGTTATTGTGATGGTAGGAATATAAATACATATAAGACGATGCATCTCTGCTTTGAAAAGCAACCAATTCGACTCGAGAGATTTTAGCGGAAAATTAGCGGAAAAAGTGTCAAAGTATTCTGTTAATTCTCGGTTTATGCTAACATAGTCTCCTTTATCGTAGAGGGTAAGTGTTTTGCGATTTTTTTGTTTCTTTAGTAGGTTGCAATAAAACGAGGCATGCACTGTTAGATGATCACTCAAGCCGCGCAAAAGGGTGATAGGCGTGAAGTTATCAGGATGCGTTGTTAACACAAGGTCCAAAACGTTGGACGAGTGATCAGTGATGCGCGTGGGATCAGTGACGAGCTGCGTTAAGCCGAATGTTATGCATGTGTTTAGGAAATCGCTTGCCGAGCTGCTGTTAGATAGTGAATAAGCGGGATCAGACCAGTCAATGGAGGGAAAATTAAAATCGCCGAACAACAGGACAGGGCTATTAGGGTACTTGTTTAATAATGTGTTCAGACCTTCATGAAATAAAGGTGTGAATGAACTGTCGGAATTAGGTGGCCGATAGCAGACACCAATGAGGATGTGCGGGTGTGTGGCTGTGCATCGAAGACAAACCATTTCCAATGGTGAAAGAAGGTTTATAAGTGAACAATGCAGATCTTCTGAGGTCGTCAGAGGTCTTCAGAGGACGTATCTTCAGAGGACGTATCTTCAGAGGTCGACTTGTGACACGCTTCCCTCTTACGTTGCAAGATCATGGGACCGAAGCCTTCACGCTTAGCCCAATAGCTGTGGCAACAACACAACAGTGCGGGGAATACAATGAAGGGCGCTTGTACTGCAGGCTGCAGCAGCCAACTCTTTCGGATCCGGTATCACGGAACTCCTACAAATTGTTGGTGTAAGGAAATACGGCCGCTCCAAGGAGAAGGGCTCCTTTGACAGTCTCTTCGCGTTGAAAGTGCACTGATGCTTGCCGATATAGTATGCACGCCAGTAATTGCAATCACGCCCTTAAAATCACGCCGTTGCTACTCAAGTGAAACTCTCCCTCCCCCTCCCCTTTAACCTTTCCTGCATTTTTCCATGCTCATTCAAGATGGGTCGTTTTCTTTCTGTTTGAGCATTTGACAGCAGTACTAACACGCGGGGGATGTTATAGTATGCGCCCTCTAGGCTATAGAGATGGGCCGACTCATTTGATCCCTGCTTCAATAGTGCGTGCGTACTTTTACCCACTCATAATAGTTACATTGCGCAGGAGCGTATTATCAACTTGGATGTGTTGCGGACCATGGCAGTGATGGCATAAACCCGCTGAGAGTGTCCATATAATTTCTATTGCATTAATAATGCAGTTTTTTAACCGCTAAATGTTTTCAGTTAGCTCTACTTTCAGTTCCCTTTTGGTTCAATTTGTGCATTTATTTTTTTATATTTTCGTGCCAAACATGCATATAATGAAATCCTCTTCATAACGAATTCTTCCGGGAATTCATCAATTTAGATATATCCAGGTTCAACTATAGAACAGGAAAAAAATTTTGTGGAACATTTATAAAAAATACTATAATACTTTCTGGGGCTTTGTGGGGCAAAGCCAGGATATAATTATTATGCCCATATAGTAGGAGACACCAAATTAATTTTCACTACATGGACTACACCTGAATCTCCAAGTACATGGCCCCTTATTTGTGGTACATCGCTAAGTGCACCATGAAGAGGCATCGCATAAACCAATGCAGCTTGCTGCCCTCGCTTTTATATATGGGCAATTCTACAATGTCAAAAATTTTTTTTAAATGCTGCCATGAACAAAGGTACCCATTTCAGATTGTGGCCCCACTATCACGCAGTTTTCTGTTGAAGCTCACTGTTATTGTGGCATGTGACAGGTTTTTAAGCTACTAATTCACATGACTGGGTGGAAAGCTAATGGTTTATAGTAGAGTGAATAGATGAGAGTTATGTCACTCTAGGTAGTGCACGACACCCTGATGGCAAGTCACAACAGCAGAACGAATCTTCCAGCTTTACTTGCGCAGGCACAGTGTGTTACCTGTATTTATTTTGGCTTTATGCATGCCATATAGCTGTTATGAACGAAACTGTGCCAGCATGTTATAAAATGGGAAATATGGTTGCAGGCTTTAACGTACAATGAAGTCTCCTAGCAAATTTCTCGCTCTGCCTGCTTGCACAATCAGTGCAGTAGTTTTCCCTGTGTTTGAATATTGGTGGTTTTGGGATGCTAACAAACTGTAACCGACAGTTAATATAGTTACGGACAATTATTATAAAAGTAACTGACAATTATTACAGTTATTGATAGTCTGAATCAACCTATACGAATAAATATGTCTGAATTATTGAGTTTTGGGGCTTAGGCTTATGTACTTGTTTGATGTGACAAGATGGCACATCTGAAATAACTGTTTATCCCAATTAAAGGGGTCAAATTAACAAGGTCTCAATATTTTATGCTTTTATTGTTTTTGCATCTTTTGGAGTTGGATGACCAAGTGCAAGTGCAGTTGTATTATGCTGCCACAATTAATACTAGAAAGTACAATGAACTTGCAGGACGTCATCAGTCGCCTGTCCAGTCGGCAGTTTCTGATAGTGGAGCAGCTCCTGCACAGCCAACAGCACCAACTACTACTGCGGCTTCCGGTGCTACACAGCAGGGCAGTGGACAGCCTAACATCAGTATAAGGCCACTTAGAGAACATGGGTGAGCAGGGTATTGCATGATACGTGTTGATTGAGACATTAGTTCATGTTATTGCTCTTGCATGATAAAAAAGAAGCATAAAGGAGGCCACTAACTGAACAAAACCATGAATAAGGAAAAAGTAAGGCTTGTAAATTGCTTAGTTCTACCAATAAGACTACTGATTTTAGTTCTAACATGCTTATATCCTCCTGAACTACAACTGTTTATAGGGGTGGGATCAGCTATGTTAAGGGGGGGGGGGGGGAATGTAAAAGTACAGCAATCTCTCATCATAATGAAGTCAGTAGAGCAGCGACAAAAGTCATTATAAGCAGTAATTCAGTATAACTAACAACTCGAAAACATCCAAATCAGTCAAGCTTTAATTGTGCTACAACTGCGAGGAAGAAAAATTGTTACTGAGAGAAAGGAGAGGGGTTTAAGAGCCTAATGGGTGGGCTGTCATGTCCAAGGCTCCATTGGCTTGTGCCACCAACCGGACGTATTTCAGAAGCACTAGTTGCACCCCTGGGTCCAAGCTAGCATGAAGTACCTCCCATTGCTCCAGCGTTTTCATAAGTTTTCAAAGAGTGCATGAACCATGTGCACACACGTCAGCGGGTACACAGCATTTGCTGCTGCATGATGCCAAGCAGTTCTAGTTACGTGCAGCACTGCAGCACATCGTCATCTAAGCCGACATCGTCACTGCTGGGCCATGAGTCGTACCATACACACCCATTTGTCATGAAAGTGTTGTGATGTTCATTCTATTCCTGAGCGCACATGGAGTGCAATGATGCACAGCAGCCTCGCACAAAAGTCAGCATGAATGGCTGCTCAGTGCGTTAGAATGGTTGCCTATGAAATCTAAAATGACAGGGAAAAGGGAGACAACCACCGAAAGAGCACTAGCTTTGGAGGACAGTCACCCACAGAAGAAGACCGAATGGGTTTTTAAACGGTACAGCCATTCTTAATCAGCGAATCCACACCTGCGCCAAGTGTGCCAAATCAGATATACTCCGCCATCTGGATAATATCACCAAAAATTGCTCCAAACTGCGCTAATGTAGATTTGGGAGCGTCTGTCACCGGCAGTAACCACGTTGGTATGTCAAAACCCGTGCAACTTGTTCTCGGGGCCACAAAAGCCGCATCAATGTATCTAGAATTACAGTGGAACCCCGATGTTACAATCCTCACTGCTGCGTTTTCTTTACTGTTACGTTGTCTTTCATCGGTCCTGGCATAGTTCTCATAGAATCAAATGTATCATGAACCCTGCTGTTACGTCGCAACTGTGAGAACGTTCTTGCATGATGCGTTGCAACCTAGTCTGCCGAACCCGCCCAAGCATCGCCATTTTGATTTGACGTTTGACAGTCTTGGCCTGGCTTGGCTATGGAACAGGTATAGAAGTCACAGGCGAGTTCGAGGTGGCCATTTGTGAAAAGTGCCATCACCATCATCACTGTTCTTGCCGCGGAGGTTTCGCTATGGAATGCCGAAAGTGCAATACAGTCCCACCGCCGCATGCTGCACGTTGTGACACATCTTCAGTCGCTGTTATGTGCGCTATATACAGTGGAACTTCGATTGTACGTCTCTCGTTTTCGTGACGACCTGCATTTTACGACGAAACGGTATAGTCCCGGCAAAATCCCCATAGAAACAATGTATAAAAAACCTTGGTTATACGATCCAGTTTTACGCCGACCCCCGCATCTTACGCCGACCTTCAGATTCCGTCGGAAAGAAAAAAAACATCTTTACTCGAATCACGCGTCAACCAAATATTCAAGAGTGCAAAATATCAGGTTGCGTACCCCAAGGACGACTACAGGAAAAGTAGTCATCTTCATCGAATGGAAAATTTATTCTCCCGGAAGTTCATGCACTTCTACATATGCCTTAATCGCGTGCATACGTATCGGGGGTCGTTACCTAGTCAAGCTTTATCCACATAAGAGTAGGTTCAGCTGACCAAAAAGCTGGTATTTTCACATTTTCGGTCCATGGAAATATTTTCTGGTTGACATAAAGCTGATCTCCTGCCTCTGTAACACTCGCAGTCACTGGTTTGCGCACGCATAAGGGCACGCTCAGAACGGCAAGCAGAACGCTCAAAACGGCAAGCAGATAGAAACGTGCAGCGCACTGCTCACGCACAAAATGACGCACGAAAACAAAATACGCAGGACTAGAGAAAACTAACAACATTTACCGCTCGACACTTAATGTGCTGTTTAAACAAAAACAGGGCACGAAACGTAATCACAGGTACATATGAGTGCGAACAAGTGCCCCAGCTGTTACTTCACCTTGTTTGAAAAGCGCATTCTTCGCAAACGGCACCTGTACTCTGAGCGAAGTGATCTTTGCACGACCGGCAACTAAACACAATCATTCCGGTCAAAGTAGAAGGAGCAGGATTCTCCCTACCGAAAAATAAGCGCATGCACGCAAACCATTTACCCCCCCCCCCCTTCCCCCCCATTCACCGGGCAAAGCACACGTGGGAGATGCGAGGCTCCCGTATCCTCATTTTGCACGGATGCCATGAGATGGCACCACTTATTTGTTTCCTAGCAGCTTTGACTGCAATGTCAGACTATAGCAGGCTCCTTAAAAATTTCATCTGTGGTTACTTTTAACTGGTGTTTTTGCTTCATCATTCTTCTGAACATCAGATTCCTTGCTCACTGCCTGGCTCGGTGGTTTTATTTTGGCCAGATATACATATTTTTTCACATTTACCACACACGCTCGGAACATTGAGTGCATCTGGAAAAAATGTTTACTTAGTTTATATGGAGCGCCTGATTTTTTTTTTTTTACCACTCGAGGGTTTGTTTCCAGTGCACAGTTTTCCAAGCAGTCATGGCGTTCATGGAATTTGCTTTTTATCATCATGGAAAACCTGGGAAAGTCGGGGAAATAAGAAATATCAAATCGCTAGACAGCCTGTCACTTCAGACCACATTTCTGACAACCTGCCTTTGTTTGCTGCATGATGTTTACATTGATTGTTGTCTGTTAAATATATTTTATAAGAAATATTATATTTAGAAGATACTTGGAGAATGCCCAGATCTTCAATTATTGTATGACAAATTTAACATCTGTTCCTCAAACGCCCATAGCTGCTCCAAAAAGTAAAAAGGCACTTCCATCACTGCACTTATTCATCATTATCTGACGCACTTAATTCCGAAACTCTCTAGTCCATATAATTTTATTGCAATAAAAAGGGCCAGGTGAGTTTTTGGCGTTCCTGTCAAAAGAATCTAGTAGTGAGCAAAGCTTTGACTCGCGCTATTGCGGCAGTCAGCTGCGCCGTCCCGTTCGTTCACGCGTGTCCCAGGAAGACATACGCGAATTGTTTGGACGGAAATAGACTCTGCTAGTTTTGTTAATCCTTTGAGACTCTCACATTGGTGGGAGACCCTTACCCCATGTGTTTGGCCACTCCAAGCCACTATAAAACTGCAATGCTACTAATGGCGCTTGCGAATGAGACCCCCCCACACACCCCCTCCCGTTTTTCACGGTGTTTTTTTTGTTTGTTTGTCCTTGTTTTTTTTTTTTTTTTTGTGCTGAAAAATAAAATGGAGGGAAATAATTCAGTGCACACCCCCCCCCCCCTTTCTCCTCGTTGCGGAAATTTTCCGGATTCAGAATCCTTGAACTTGGCAGGTATGCTAGACTCGCTTCGTTGAATAAACTGCTCTGAAAAGAATTTTTGTGCCACGAGTGTCTTGGCCATAACTGTTCGGTATTTAGAAAGAACGCATAGGCTGTCATAGGGTGAGCCGTTTCCTGTCGCAACAAACTCTCTGTACAAATTATTGATTGATAACCGTATTTACTCGCATAATGATCACACTTTTTTTTTTCTTAAAAAATCAAAGTTGGTGGTATGTTTAATATGCGGGGAAAATTTTATGAAAACATTTTCGGTATAAGCATGAAAGTGTGGTAATCAAAAAAAGTTAGGTACGTCAGCTTATATGATGCACGTCACTCTTCTTTGGTGGTTGAAAAAGCTGTCTTCTGCAAGCTGTTCCCACGAGGGTCGTGCACACCGGCTATTTTTTCTCGCAATCGTTTAACTGCAACAGTAGTATCTGCTGCGATCATGAGGGATGCCCAGAAGTGTGCACTGCGACGCCACGACGCACTTAGCCAACTTCGTGGTAACCTCGCATGGTGGGCGGGACGCCGCCGTTGGCAATGTAGCAAGCAAACATTGCAGCAGGCTGCCACCGATGCATCAAGACAAACAAGATTAGCGACAATATACGACAGTCGCCTCGCTTGCAACTGAAACGAGAGTCTGGGACCGTGTTGCGGAAACGGTCACGATGTTTTCTGGACAAGCGATTTCTTTATGGTTTTCCAGAAACATACGATGCGATGGCAATGAATTTCTCTTCGCGGCAGCTGTGGCGACAGCAAATCCTGCCGCCATAGCGACAGCAAATCCTGTCGTTGTCGCTCGAAAATTGTGTGCATGTGGTTGGGGCTTAAGGAGAGATGCTACTCGAAGACACCTTTTTTTTTTTTTTTAAATATTAACCCTAGAGCAATGAAACGTCAGCTGTTAATAGAACTCTGTATACTGATTTGAAATATATAATTAGTTTTCTTGCAAGTGGCATACTTTTAGGTCTGCGGCATGACAAAGTGAAAACCTTAACCCTTTTGCCCCCCCCCCCCCCCCTTTTCATCCCTAAACTTCCGTAAGTTTTCACCATTCATAGCTCATAATATTTGAAATAAAGCGTAGAATACAAATAAATTATTATGAAGCGAATACAAAATATGCAATATGCGTGAAAAATAAGACGTGAAAAAGTTCATATTTCACCTACCCTAGTAAAGGTTTACTTATAGTTTATTATATAACAAAATATTGACATTTATACTAAATAATTGTATTTGTCATACTTTGGAAAATAATTGGGCCAAAATTTCATGCAGATCCGAGCATTAAAAGTACCGGGAAAAGGGGGGGCTCATTGAAAAAAACTTGCAAAATTGTGTTTTGAGAAAAACGAGTTTTAAAGTTACAGTTGAGTTTTTATTTATGAAAGATGTCAATAAATGAGATGAAATTTGCACACCAAAAAGAACAACTCTTCTTGTAGTGGCCATTGCCACTAAAATACGCCGGCACCATGAGTTTGTCCCTCTCAGCATTTTCGAGCTGACTCCTCACATACATTTTACTTGCAGATAGAGCCATGAAACGCTTGCCAAACTTCCTCCACACTATCTGGCAGAGCCTTGTGCTGACTGCAAGTTGGGAAGAAGTTCGACAGGACTGCAAAATTCAAACTAAGTCCAGTGTCGAGGAACACAACAGTGCAGATGCCATTTTGCGGCAATGTTTGTGCCACATACTGTCGTACATAATGGCAATGTCGTCTCCGCTAAGTTCCCGCACTGCGAGCTCCTTTGACCTCGCAAGATTGGCGCTGACGTCATCCATTGCCGCATCAAACTTTCCGGCTGATGACTGTGAATGACTTTTCATGCATTGGCTTTTGCAAGCCAACAACTGCCGCAAATCGGACCAGCTGCTTGTAGCCTATTCCTACAGAGCGCGCCGCCACAACGGCATTCACGCCCGAGCAATGGGTCTTTCATTCGCAACGGAAATACACGAGAAAAGCATAGTTCAGCTGTGCTGCTCGACCTCGCAAGTAGGCTTCACAGCATATACAGGTGCGCAGTGGCCAATAGCGGTCTCCGATTCGTACCACGTGATAAGTCAGTCGCGGCACTCAAGAAACACGCAAAAGCGTGCTTCTTTTTATTATTTATTGCACCGCATCAGCTAGGAAAACTATCGTTATTTGAAAAGTGAGGCTCGACTTTTCGCCTTGTGCGATCGACAATGGCGAGCGTGGTGCATTATTGGTGGCAAGGTGCTCAAAGACTGCACCCTTCGGGCCTTTTAACAGGCACCTTGTGCTCTTTAGATGCAATTTTAAAGCATTTCCAGTTAAGTCTCAACATGTATTTTTTAATTTTTTTCAGAACATTAGAAGTACTAATCTTATCAAAACATGCAAAAAGGAAATATAGGTAATTTTGAAAAATACTTGTGTTTTTCGACTTAAAAGTTTTGTATTTGCAGGAAGTGACCGTCGCTTGGTGTGGGAAGTTGGCACGTGACTTTTGCTATCTGTGTGCTTGTCAACTGTGATGTCTGTACACTCGCACCATTCGTGAACCCTGCTCTGGCGCATAGATATTTAAAAAAAGGCTGAGTTCGTGTTGTGCACAGATCGAAAGAAAAACTATACGGCGCGTGGCCAAGGGGGGTCGGCATAACAATAAAGAAATGGAAGATATCGAATGGGCAAGTACTGCAGTAGACGAGTGTAGGGGGTGCATTTATTACGCAGGGACAAGAAAAATCCAAATTTTGACGATGGAAGTTGGGGCTGCGTTGTTCATTATGAGAGTGCACTTATTACACAAGTAAATATGGTATTTGTAATCAAGAAGCGTGCATATTAATTATGGTAATAAGAGGATGAACTCAAGAAAGATTGTTATTTCATTATTTCAGTGCATCGCCTTATTAGACCAATCAAAGAAGTCAAATATCACAAGACGAACCAAAAATCGCAATTTTCAGGCGTTCTGTAGAAGTACACATTAGGTGAAAGTTTAAGCAAAGTTTTCTCAGTACTGAAATACAAAAAAAAAAGCATCAAGAAGTGCGCACCAAAGCAAGCATCAAATTCCCAAAAAGGACATGGAGAATCGTGATCCTCGTGCATTTTAGATGAGCTGAAGCAGGGTTAAACTTTTGAAGTCTTGTTCTGAAAATTTTTTCATAGGCCTGCTGAGTTGGTGCAGCCATTTTCTTAAACCGTTTGGCTTACCTCGACTCGGTTTTTTTTTTTTTTTTTTTCATTTCATGTTTCTGTGACTGCATTATACGTCCTGACATGCTTTATTTCTTGGTTTGACTTTTCATAATTTTATGATGGGACTAGTCGTTCATCCCTGAAGTGTGCCTAATCTGAAAATAGTAGTCTCAATGCATGAATGTCGTTTTGCAAAAAAAAAAAAAAAAGCAGGATTGTCATGATGCTCAGAATGCATTCAGCTATGCAGTGAATATTCACTTACCCTGCTAGTATATCTTTAAACTTTCCAGGCATTGCACAAAATGCTAAGGATTGCAAGAAGGAAACCTGCTAAATGTTTGTGCCAGTTTTTATCAACATCTGTCAAGTTTTTAGAGAATTGGCTTTCCAAAGCACCCTTAAAGAGCGACATGGGACTTGTTTATTTACCCTTTGCTACTTTACTTTTTTATTTTGTTATCAATTTTGATCAAATTTTGTCAGATTATGTATAAATGTGTGGTGATCTCATATATACAACTATTTTCTTGTATGAAGTGTTTTTAAAATACAAATATTTTATGTGCCTTTTGGGAAGCAAGTTTTTTTCTGAATTAAATGAGTTAAAAAGTAAACATATCAGAATGTTGTGGAAACGGAGTTCATTGCAGTACAACAAGAATATATTTTCTAAATCTATTCAAAGAAAATTTAGGGTATGTTAAACCAGCACATCCTCTATTTTATCAATGCCAGCCAGATGCGCACAATCCGGTCGTTCACCATCCTCTCCTCTGACTTTTTCCTGCTCTCGCCCATTGCCTAGCCTTTGCATGTGCTTTGCAGTCATGGGGGAGAGAACCCATCATGTGGGGCCTCGCAATGAAAATAATATAGAGTAATTTCTTTGCTCAATTGTATACAGATCCATGGGGCGGCATCTTCATTCCTTGTGTTCGCATTATTGGCTTTTATGCTGTCTCTGTAAGAGATACGCCATTTTGAGATAGCGTGTTGCTGTTTGTGGCTCTATGCGGGCAATCAATGGCGACATGTCACTGTGATACTACTGCATCATTAGTGCTGAGAGGTGGCGGCAGCATTGCTTCGAGCTGCAATGAACGAGCATGAAGGAACAAATCTGACAAATGAATGACATTGGAGAGGGACACGCATCTCTCCATCTCCAGGGCAAAGCACACGGATGCATGTGTGACGCAAGCAGCCCTACCCACCACTCCTTGGAACTAAGGAAGATCAACGGCTCTCGTTGAGAAGTTTGCGTTTGCACTGGCTTAAGGAGGCGTTGGTTAAAGATGGAATAGTTTGTATTTTAAAAACGGCACTTTATAGAAGAATAGTAACTGCATATTTGAAATCAGCACGTGAAACATACATGAAGTCTCCAAGTTTCATCAAAATCAATTGAGAAATAAACTTTTTTATAAGAGCAGTGTGTCCTCTTGACGACTTTCTTAAAACATTCTGCGACCGTAGTTACTGCGACAAGAGGATAAACTGAATCTAAAAGTCGTGTAACTTGTGCATTAAAGCTACCTTCATGAGGACCCTTCGTTTGTGACTAAGCTACTTATCCCTTATTTGCAGGGTTCCTGCAGCAGACTTGGCACCTATTCTTGGAGAGATACTGCAGCTGCAGACTCGACTGGCTCCACATCTTCAGGGATACCAAGAGATTCTTCAGGAACATCCAAATACACAATCTATGACGGTATGACATGTACCATTTGTAGGCTTCCTTAAGGGGGGCTTGGGACCCGATAGGGAGATATATTAGTATTAGGCCTAAAGACATGATTTTTTCAAGGAATATTCAGCTTTGTACACTGATTGGAATTATGTTACATTTTCTTTACATCAATCCAAAAAAAAGTTATAACTATTCTTATTTCTCGAATTTGGGATGTGACTTGCATAAAAAGTAATGCATCAAAAGAGCTATAATTGAACCTGTATATTGCTGAATGTTCAAATAGTTCAAATATGCAATTTCATGCTAGCATCTCAATTTTACCCGAAGTTACGAAGTTTTTATGTCGCAGTCTCTTAGCTCTCAATTTTCACTGGTGATTTCTAGAAAATTTCAAAATTTTACAATGTCCTTAAACATTTTATTAAGGTTTTCTTGCACACTTCAATATCCGAGCATTCAAACAAAAAAAAGGGATCAAGAAAATCGAATCAGTATTGGAGACACAGCGCTCATCCCAAAATTCAAAAATATGTAAAAATCTGCATTTGAGAAAAACACAAAAAAACTGAAAGTTGTGAAAATGAAAATCTCATGCATGAAAGCACTTTGCATCTTCAACGGCGTTCCAGGCAGCCGTGCCGTCGGCTCCTCTCTGAGCCGACGGCATGGTGATAGTCTTTCTTAACCGCCTGCTGGTTACCTGTGCATGTGTGATCTAGCTGCAGTTCACACAAAATAAGCGAACTAGATTTCTTGTTCCCTGAGTTGAAACACATAACAGCTTCTGCCATGGCAGTCTCAACAGCAAACAATGACGCGTTCTTGTCCTTTGGTGAGAGGCTCTAAATGACCGAATGCAAGGCCTCATTCGAATTCTGTGCCTTCCCTCTGGTGCATCTTTGCAGGAGCTTATGGTGACCCCGCTACTCACCGTAGCGGATCACCGCGGGTTCACGTTTAGCGAGCCACAGGGCCGCGACTCCGTCACCTACTCGCGCGTAGCGCACTGCTCCGCGCGCGCTCAACTAATCAGGCGTTTAGCGCGGCGCGGCAAACAGACAGTGTTCCAATACAAAACACACAACACTTTATTGCCTTTGGCGGCATCCCGAACAACAGTACAACATCCGCTCCCGGGACGCGGGGAGCAAAGGCGGGGAGCAAACGCGGACGTTCACAATAAGGGGCAACTGCGAGCACGTCGCAGCTGGCAATGGCGAGCTTTGACACGCCGGTCGGGAAAAGGTCCCTCGCGGCTATGCTGCGCACTCTCACGATGGCCAATGGGCCTGGTCGCGAGTGTTAGGGCAAACCTCATATGCGTAGGCCTACGGCAAGTGCGGTTCAGTGTGGTACGACCACTTCAAGCACTAGGCACCGCTGTGGGCTTAGTGTACGCTACCGAAGCTAGCACTCAAGTAAACACGCCTGCCGAGGTGCCAAAGGTCACCCCAGGCAGGCTTTAGTCTGGCGATTCCCAAAGGGGACGCGGACGAAGGAAACACGTGCTTACCCGGCGCCGACCACGGAGGAGAGTGCAGCTCATCGGTGTGCACGTAACACGTGCCGGGCCCGCACGTGGCGCCGTCTATCGCCACGCGCCGTTACCAGAGCAGAAAAAGCAAAAGGGGTGTGGCCGTGTGGCAGAATGCCCGCGAAAAAGTCACGGGCGCGCCTCGGATCCCCACAAACTTCTTGTCGGAGAAGCGTTCATTAACAGGACACAGTGCATTGCTCACAGTCTCTGGCAAATTGTACTTGCTTTTTGGGAGGGGCTCATTCCTTGTCATGGCTGCATTATGCTTGCGCCAAGACTCGGAGCCGTGTGGACAGAAGCTCTGGTTTGGTTTCTCGTCAGTGGATGTCACATGATGATACGTAGCCTACACAGCCTTGTGCATCTCATCCACATTCCCAGAATGGGATTTCAAAGCCCAGCTGTAATAACTCGTCAATTTTATGATGAGGTCACCCGTGAGGCGGCCCTTGCCACTGATGCGCTTGATGCTGTCCCCTTTGTGCTTCTGCACGAGGTTCCGAAGCGCATTCCCAATATTCCCAATGTATCTTCTGCACATGGTTCGAGCAGTCTTCTTTTTCAACATTTATGAAGCCGTACACCTTCGCTTCTTTGACAGCACTGTACGACCGGCTGTCACCATCACAAAGCACGGTGGTGTATCCGAGGCCATGAAGCGAAAGGGAGTGCTGAAATAAAATCATTGCTGCCTCTACTTTCATTTGGCCAGCCTTGCATGAGGTATCATAAGGTATTTTTCTGGCATGAATGTTTGGCTTTCCATTCAGAGTATTCTGGGCTCTCGGGTTTTGGACCACATTCACAGCTGAGGCAAAAATTGGAAAGCACAACATAGTCTAGCACATAACCTGCAAAACTTCTATCATAGTGGCTCTTCTAATGTGAGAGGTGTGCCAGCTTGTGTGCCAGCCATTCATCAAAAGAGATGGCAGTATTTCCGGGGTTGCCAAAATTGAAGTCCTTGTAGAGGTACTTTACCACTGTAGCACACTTAGTCAAATGTTCGGCACAAGCTCTAGTTGCTGCTGGCTGAAGCTTCATTTTCGGGTACCCTTGGTATGTTTTCGTGTGAAGGCCTCGATGTAAAACACCGATAGCGGCAAAGATGTCATTCAGAGCTGTCTGACTATTCCCAGTGCTCTGAACTGCATGCACCGTGCAAACGTTGGATTTCGAACGGGTTGCAGTTACTGCTGCCACTAACCTGTCGCGAGCTCCATTTCAAACCAACTTCTTCGCAGTTGCTGCAGTGAAGCTTCAGCTTAACGGCTACGCCGTACTCGCGTGTGTCGCGTTCGATGGTCAAGTGACCACGGCACACTCTGCAAGCAGAATGTTCGTTTAGTAAACTGTTAACCATGTCGAGGTCAAACATGGTGTACAATGGGGCCGACGAACTTTCGGTGCCGCGCTGACTCGCGAGAACACTCATTTTGCGATCGGTTGCCGAGACCAAAGAAAGTTCCACTGCTTTTTGCTGGGCGCAACGCTCTATGACTTCTCGGTCAGACGATTTCAAAAATGTCGCGTCTATCCTCGCAGCTCGATTGCGCATACTTGAAGTACTGCAGGCAGCGGTCGCAGTCGCCGCCACGCTTTCTCTGGCTGCGAGATCTGCTGCAGCAGCATTCTTTGCTGTCTTAATCACAAGCGGGGGCATTGTTTCCTGGCGGCTTGTGTAAGTATCACCGCAATCAGCTGATTTCGACGGCACTGTGGTCGTCGTCGCGATCGCTTGTGTTGCAACACCGCTTCGTTGCGGAATCCTTTGCGCTCTTCCACCGGGATCTGCAGATATCTTCGTCGGCAGTTGCGATGACTTATGGCACTCTGAGCGCGTGTCACCACTGGTAGAAGTCGTAGCGATGGAAGGCTGCCTTTGTGTCAGGCTGCTGCATCGCGGTGACTGCCAGTCTCCTGTCCCGCTCGGCTCTGCAAACGTAGCCTGCGCTGGCTGCGATGACTCCTTGGGCTGCACAGCACATTTTTTTTGTCGCTTGCCGAACTTGTGAAGTGTGCGGAACTTACGAGCACGGTTCGGCATCTCGATTTCGATCGCAAAACTACAAAACTTCCACAATGGCGGTGACAACATGTGTGTTTGCGCCTGCACGCACGTGATCACCAGCGTTCTCAGTCCCCGCGCTGCAATCACAAGCTGCTGTTCACTCACGTGACTGCTATAGATCAATGATACTGCACGGTTTAGTTGCTTGTTTTTGCCTGGTAGCGCAGACTGGCTGCAATATTGAAGGTTTGTTCCTGGTGGGAAAGCGAGCTCAACAGAAGCTCTTTCAATTGAGGCTAAGATGGTTGCGATCCGATGAGTGGTTAGCGCGATTCGAGCAATGCAAAAGGGGGCTGTTTTCGGCGATATCGTAAGCAAAACCAAGCGCTGGAATGAATAAACACATTTTTTGGCTCAACGACGCATCATTTCGAGTTCATTTTTTGCTGGAAGGTGCGGGATGATATAAAGGTAACGAAAATCACCAAGCTGAAAAATCAATTTTTTTTTGGCATTTTTTCGTCGCCGAGACCCGTGTCCCCCCTTAATTAAGCCAACTTGATGAGTTACCTATATTGTGTACACATTCATCAATCTTCAGCAAAGCTCAGCTTGTCCACTTATGTGGTACATGTTTCGCTCACGTTACTTTTCAAGTAAGCTAGAAGGCTAATTTTTAGGCTTGTGCAAATATTTGAATGGATAGTGGAGTAATAAATTTGCTTTGACTCAAATATAAATTGTTCGAAATTTCTAATTCTTCTAAACAAACAAATAAGTTCATATCCTGCAGGGGTATTCTGCAGTGGTATCTGCCATACTGCTCGAAGGGGGTCTTTTTTGTCTGATTTGCACCATTGCTGCACCACAAGGTGGTTTTGGAACTGAAAGTAATGTTGACAGCACTGACTGTGAGCAGATATTACATGATGGTCGCCATCTTGTACACTTGTGATGCTGCAAAAGCACGGAATCAGCCAATCAATTATTCCGACTTGCACGTGATTAAGGCAGTGCTTTTTCTCATAACCATTGGCTAAGAACGAAGGCGATGTGATGACAACCTTAAAGCATGCTAGTATGACTTATCACCCACGAAGAGCCTACGTGTTTGGCATAGGGCCGCTTTAAGCCTACTGCATGCTTTTAATATCGTGTTCAGCATGCACCGCTTTGCAGAAACGAAAGCAGCTCGCTGTTGCGGAGTTGAGCATTGTGGATCGCGAGCACAGAGACGGCAATTGTAGCTCACGCTTTCATAAGGTGGTAGCCCAAACGCGCCTCCGTTCATTGCCAGGACCGCTAGAGCATCGCTTGCTTAAAGCACGCATCTCGCCACAGGTGTGCACGATCTAAAGCGTAAAGCGTAGTGGGCGCAAGCGGCTCTGCACGGTGTGCGTGAAGTAGGCCAAGCACTGCACGCAACTAGCCAGTAGATGATCGGCTCCTTGTGACCATAGAGTGTCTAGG